GAGCAGCTCCCGCGCTCCGCGATGATGCTACGCGATGATGCTCGCGGGCCCTCTTCCCACTCTGGCTTCTCCCGCGGTACTTTGAGCTCCAGTGCAGGGCTGTACTATACACACACACACACACACATATGTATAAATATATATAATTTTGGAGTTTTTTCTCATAATACAGGTTATACAGGGGCTACTTTTGTTTTGACCTGGATTCCCTGAGACCCTGGTTTCTACTTTGCGGAGGGTGTTGGTAGAGAGGTTCCCGAGATCCATCCCCACATCCAGCTTCCTCCGCACGCCCCCATATTTCCCCGTTTCTGCCCCTCTGGGCACGTGAGAGTCCCACCTCTGAACTGACCCGGCCTCCCCCGTCCGTCTGTCCGTCCGTCCCGCGCTGCCCCCCCCCCCCGCATCCCCCAGGCGAGGCAGGGAGCCAGACCCAAAGCCGTACCAGTGGGACTTGTTGCCAGCGATACCAAAACAAGACTTTTCCCAAGCAGTGCCTCACATGTCTGCTGGTGTGGCTTTGGGGTTCTCCTCCCCTGTTCCCCAGCCCCCACCCCCAGGCCTCAGGAAGGAGGAGGTGGGATCCAACAGGAGTCAGGGCCAGACAGGAAGGAAGTCACGCACCCCCAAGCTACTGCCCTCCCCACAGCCCTCCATTCACACCTCCTGGCTAGAAGGGGACCCCCCGGGAAGGGGACGGGAGCTGTCCCAGCCCCCTCCCGTGGGAACCCCCAAAATCTACTCCCCAAATGCATCAACACCCCATCCTCCCATCTTGGGTCCCAGCCAGGACTCCAAAACCAAAGTCCCTTCAGATTCGGGGGTCCTGGCCTCTGCCCCCAGCTTCCTGCCCTCCCACCCCCCAGGACCCCACATGGGGGAAGACGAGAGAGTCTGAGGGACAGAGCGCACAGCGCAGGGGGGAAGGACAGAGACCCACCGGACTGAGTTTCCTTTCTCTTTCCTTTTCCTTCCTTCCTTCCTTCCTTTCGCTCTTTGAAAAACTTTTTGGTGGTGTTGCTCTTCGTTTTCATTCTTTTCCCTCCAAGATATTTTTTGAGGTTCCCCCCCCATTTTGTATTTTACTGATATTACCAGGATAGTTTACTCTGTCTCTCGCTTCCTGCTTGCCACACACACCGGATCTCACACACACACACACCCACACCCACACCCCATGCTCGTGAACCCAGGTCGGGAGAAGGTCCGAGCTGGGTCTGCTGCCCACCGCCCCCTTCCCCTCCGGGCCGGGGACTGGGGGGACGCCTGGCAGACCCGCCGGACTCCTCCCTTGCCCGGCTCGCCCGCCTGCCCCCCTCACAGCATACTCTGGTCATAACCTTGTATATTACGCAGTCATTTCGGTTTTTGCAGATGCGCCTACCTAAGTACCATTTACAGAAAGTGACTCTGGCTGTTACTATTTTGTTTGTTTGTTTCCCTATGCAAAAAAAAAAAAAGAAAAAAAAGAAACAAGGGGGGTTCCATAAAAGATTCAATAAAAAAAAAAAAAAAAAAAAAAAGACAAAAGAAGGAAGAAAAAAATGTATAAAATAAACAAGCTATGCTTCGACTCTCACTGACTGTCCTGGGTCCTCCTTTCTGTGCTGTGTGGGTTGTTCGGTGCCAGAGTGAAGGGAAGGGGCTGAGACCTTTGTGTCCATCCAGTGGCCCCCAGGGACCCTCCACAGTGCCCGGGGGTGTTGACAGGGGTGCTCCTGGTATTGAGGGCTGGGGCCAGGGGTGCTGTGCAGCCCCCCACGGCACCCAGGGTGCCCCTGCAGAGAGTGATCTGGCCCCTTGTCTGTGTCCGCAGAGCCCACGGGAGGGACCTGCTTTACACACTGACTTTGGTGAGCTCTGGGTCCAGGTCCTTCCTGCAACGCCCCCGGTGCTCCAGTGGTCCCCCCGCCCCTACGAGGGGCCATTTCACACCCCTGAACCTTGGCGCCTGCTATTCTGCTGCTCACCACTGCCTCCCCACTCTACGCAGACCCTTCAGTGCCCACAACGACACCCTCTTCCTCCAGGAGGCCGGCCCACCTTTCCCCAGTCTAGCTTCCTCCCCGACCAGCCTCAGATCTCCCCAGGGTCTTCAATCAACAAACCCCATGGGCATCTATGGAGCACCTGCTCTGTGCCAAGAAATTCTGCCTCCCCCCTCCCACCCCCCGGCTCCCAAGGACAGAACCTGGCACACAGTCGGTGCTCCATAAATGTACAGAGTGCCTTCCCTCCTTTTCCACCTGGCAAACTCCCATTCATTCAGCAAAGATTTCCTGAGCATCTGCTGAGTACCAAGTACTGGGGACACAGCAGGGAACAAAACGCCCAAAATAACCTGCCTTCATAGCCCTTACAGTTCCAAGTTGGGAAGACGCATGGTGAACAATAAAAATAAGTAAAATACATATCAGAGGAGGTAAGTGCCAAAGAAGTAAAGCAAAGTAAGGGATAGGAGAGTGGGTCTCACATGAGGTAACATTTAAACAGAGACGAACAGAATGAGGGAAACAACCTCCTGGAAATCTGACAGATGAGTGTTTCAGGCAGCGGGCACAGACTGTGCAAAGGCCCTGGGGTAGGACCCTGCCTGGCATGTTGGATGAACGGCCAGGAGGCCCGTGTGACTGGAGCAGAGTAAGGGACCAGGGGAGGAGGACAGGACAGGGAGGGGATGGGACAGGTCCTGCAGGGTCTTGTGGGCCTCAGGGAGGACCTGGACTTTTACCCCAGGGAGGTCGGAGCCCTGGAGTGCTGTGGGCAAAGGACGGCAGGACCTGACTTCATTATAACAACCTCTCATCCCAGAGGCCTTCCCCACCTGCCTGGGCAAAGCCCCTGTTCACCCTCCCAGCTCCCAGCCCCCAAACGGTCCCACCCCAGCCCTGATCAGTCAGGTCTGGCAGCGGTCCTGTCCAGTTCTTCCCCCAACCCCGGCAGCCATGGGGGCTTCTCAGAGGCTGGGGTCAGAGAGGAGGGAGGCTTACAGCACAGGAGCATCGCCCGTGTGAGGGGCAGTCACTTCCCTTTCTTGGGGGGGCTGGAATCTGTGAGTCCTGGCCCATCATTCTACCCCCATTTCAAGTCCCCCAGAGACCTCCAAGGAACCCCAAGATGGGCAAGCAAAGCTCTCTACTGCACAGGCGCCTTCCATACTGCAACAGACCCACCCAGGAGGGACGATTTTATCCCTTTTTACTGATGGGGACACCAAGGCAGAGAGACAAGACACTCAGAGGGACCCAGGCACAGTGCCCTACGCTGCACACAGATGCACTGCCCCACGCCGCCGCCCAGACAGGAACAGACGACAGTCGTCGGGGGATGAGGTCCTAGGCCCCCCAGATCCCGCGCGTTCCCTTCCCACGCCCCATCCCCAACAGGGCTGGGTGCTTCTGCCCTCAGCAGCGCGGTTCTGGCGCCCCCTTGTGGACGGGACGAGGATCTGGACCCAGAAGCCGGGTCTTGAGGGGAGGGGCCCCCAACCACCTGCGCCCCAATCCCCACCGTCCAGCCCCTTCCCGCAGCGGGAAAGGGGGCGATAGCAGGAGCTTCTTCTGCGGGGTGAAGGTTCAGCCTGTTGTGGGGGCTCAGATGCGGCTGGGGGCTCATCTGGGGTAAGGGCTCAGGTGGGATGGGGGTTCAACCAGGGGTCGGGAATTCAGCTACGGTTGAGGGGTTCAGTCAGGGTTAGGGGTCAGTCAGGGCTAAGGGGCTCAACCAGGGGTGGGGGCCTCGGCCGGGGTAGGGGGTCAGTCAGGGCTGGGGGGCTCAGCCGGTGTGGGGGGTAAGCCTGGGTCGGGGGGGGGGCAGCAGTCTGGCCCTCGATCTCAAGGTAAGCCTCCGTGTTTTTCAGACATTGGCCCCTGAAGTGTTGCAGTTCATGGCTTTGGGGGGCCGTCCCAACACTGCAGGCTGTTTGCCATCCCTGGGCCCCCAACTCAATGCCCTAAAAGGGGGGGCAGGCTTGTGACAGCCACAAAACTCCCCCCACAATTTCCAGACGGCCCTAGGGGAGAAGTCTCGCCCCGCGGAAGGGGAGGAGTCACACAGCCCCGCCCTTCTCCCCTCCCCCCGCGACCGCAGCGCCGCCCCATGCCCGGACCCTCCGGACCCTCCGGACCCCCCATCCGAACCCACGGACCAGAGGCAGAGGACGCGGGGGCACCAGAGACGCAGTCTGAACACGCACACTGTGCCCTTCTAGATCCCCCAGGCCTGGGGAGGGGGGCTCGCGTGCACTGGGCCCCATCCACACCATTTCAGCATAACAAAAAGCTGACATTTATTAGACACCTTTTGGGCTCCGGGGGTTCTGTGCTCGGGATTTTCGTGGACAGTATTTCATTTAATCCTCATGACAACTTAGAAAGGATCAAGTTACCGTCCTCCCCCTTTTACAGGACAAGACACTTAGGCACAGAGAGGTTAAGTTACATGCTTAGGGCCACACAGCAAGGACGCTTGGAGTTCAAGCCTTCTCTGCAGCCACCCGCAGGAGTGCAGCACGGTCAGAGGGGGTGAGGACGCCGTCTCCTCCCACCCTCAGCACCCGCACCCAGGCACAGCTAGCAGACAGTGACTAGAAAACCAGCGCGGGGTGGGAGGGCCCTTGGCTCCCAGGAAACGGCCACGTGCTGCCCACCCCCCGAAGTTCAGGCCCAGGAGCAACAAAACAAAAGCAAGACAGCCCGAGGGCTGGACCTGCTCTGGGGCCCGGAAAACACTGCAGGGCCTTTGCACGGCTTGCCCCCACCAGATCTCTTCCGGGCTCAAAGGGGAAGGGGGTGCTTGGGAAGGGGGTGTATAAACGCCCAGGTAAATGCAAAGGGGGTTACTTGGGGTAGGGCCTGAGCGCTCCTCTTTCAGGGACACTTCACCTGAACCCCACATGGAATAATTTTGCTGGCCCCAGGACCAGGTCTTTGCTTGTAGGGTGCAGAGTGGGCATTGGGCGTCCCCGGGAGGCCTGCCTGGAGGAGGCAGGTGGGAAGACTTCATTCAGAGGAGCTCGCCACTCTTTCGTGGTCTGGAGGCCCCTCTTTCTCATCCAGCTCCAGCCCCCCATTGCCCTCTGTTCCTTTCTCCTCCTCTCTCATGGTCACCTCTTCCTTCTCTTTCTTGCTGTGGAGACAAGAAGTGTCCAGAAAACCTCACTTAGTAAGGAGTTACAGTGTCCAGGCCTCTTGCGATCCCCCCAGAACCTCTGAGTCCTGCACTCTCGTCGTTGGCATCGTGCGGAAGCCGTGCCGAGGCTCAGACAGGTTAGGACACCTGCCCTGTTTGAACAAGAAGGAAGTGCGGGGAGCTCATGCGTGAGCTATGGGAGCCCGAACCCAGCTCTTCACATCTGGCCTTCCCGGCTTCCCGGGTCCCAGAACTGTGTGCGAGGGAACAACAGGCAGGGAGGTGGGGAGATGGATCGACTGATGGGTGGCTCGGTGAATGAGCGGATGGGTGGACGGATGAACAGGTGGACGTGCGGACGGGGTGGGGCGAAGGTGGACAGAGGCGCAGACAGTGGGATGGACACACAGAGGAATGGGCGGACGGAGGGAGGGAGGGATAAATGTGTGGGGCTTGAGGGGAGGTGAGGAGGACTTTAGGGATCCCATCTGAAACACATGTGAGTGATAGGGCCTCAGGGAAACCACCTCGTTTTTCACGTAGGGAGTCAGGAGGGAAGTCAGTGAGGTTATAGGAGGCCCCATTGGTTCTGAATCAAAGCATTGCCCCCTGGCCCTGCCTCCTCCAAGGCTCAGAGAGGAGAGGGAAGGGAAGGGGCTCTGAGCCCCAGCGGTTCGGCAGGGGAGGGACTCACACAGGAGGGGGGCCCACCTGTCGCGGGACTGGCTGCACCAGATGGCGTAGACCATGATGAGGACGAAGATGAGGAAGAGGGCGGCCAGCACGGCCCCAAGCCCCACCAGCCACGGCTTCCTCTGGGCCACTGTGGGCAGGGTGCGGCGGGGTCAGCGGCCGGGCCACCAGCTCGGGGCTCCCTTCCCACCTCCTCTCCCTCCCGAGGCCTTACAGGGTTGGGCCTGAACCGGCCGCGGGACCAGAGATGCCAGAAGGGAGAGTGGGCCAGCAGTCATCCAGAATCTGTCCATCCTTGTCCGTCTGTCCTGGCCTCTTTCCAGCGGGGTCTGGGGTGCCACCCCATTAGAGGAGGAAGTGGCCCGCCCCGGACACCCCAGGGCAGGGTGTGGCCAGTGCCACAGGAAGTGGGGGGGTGGGGCCCCCTTCCCTGGATTCTGGGTATGCTGGGGAGGGGTCCGGCGTCCCAAGCATCCCAGCACCCTGTCTCCCAGAGGCCCACCCTGGCCTCCTCACTCCCCACAGCCAGAGCCATGGGAGAGGCTCAGGAAAGGTGGGGAACGCGTTTCCTGAGCACCTACTATGCGTCAGGCCTTGCAATGGTTCTTAAGCCCCAGCACCTGCTTCAAGCCTCCTAACTCTTGTCCTCAGGTTGCAGATGAGGGGCTACCTCCCCGGGGGCCACACAGCATTCCAGAGGGACACCATTCTCCCAGCTAGGAACCACAGCCAGGAACGGACACCCGGCGCTCCAACCCTCTCCCATCCTAGGACATTAACCTCCAAATCTGACCTTAGCCAGAGCCTACAAACTCCCTCATCATTTGGGCAGCCTGGGCTTCATCCCAGCTCTGACAAGAGCAACCCTCGACACCTGGCCAGTGGTATCTTTCTTTCTACGCCTCAGTATTTTCAGCTGGAAAATGGGACTAACTATGTACTAATGGAGACTGAGGATTAAGATGCTGGGCGCTCCCTGGGAGCATCTATGAGGGCATGTAGTACCTTGATTTTATTTATGTTTTTTCCACCCCCCTGGTGGACTACCCTGGAAGTGTTCCAGCAGCCTTGGGGGTTACATCCTACCAACAACCCCAGCGACCTGCCCCAGAACCCAGCCCGAATGCCAGCTTTTATCAAGGTCCTTATTAAGAAATGGTTAATATCCAGGGCAAGGTCCAGGGCCCAGAAAAAGTGAGGTGAAAGGAGTGGCTGGAAACTGGGAGGAGAAAGTGCTTGTCCCTTCCCAGGGGGGCGCAGAGCCCCGGGGCGCACAGCCTCCCTGGACACAGTTCCCGGGAATGGAGTCATGTGAGCCCAGACGAGGGGTGGGGTAGCAAGGATTTCCCAGGATACGGCACTCTCGGGGCTCAAAGTCCAAGGCTCAGGGCAGCAAAATCAAGATTGCAGGGAGAGGGCTGAGTGTGCCCAGGGCATCTGGGCACAGTGCAGCCTGCTCTACCACACCTGCACAGGCAGTGACCCCAACCCCAAAAGCTGCCTCCCCCAGGGGGAAACTGAGTCCCAAGAGACAACAGGAGCCCTTCTGAAGGGCTCTTATCAATTTAATACAGGTCTCCAAAAGGCAGCCCCTGCCCCAAGTTGGTCCCCAGGCTGAGTGGGATGGGGGGGGCGGGGTGGGGGGGCGGGGCGGAGGTTCTGGCCAACAGATATCAGGGAGAGGGAAAAGAAATCAGGCGGTGGGTAGAAGTAGGTGGAGCCATGAGATGGTGAGGGCTTGGGGGTTTCTCCACAACCAAGAATGCGCTCCTAGTGCAAGAAGAATCACTAGGCAGTCAAGTCAGGAAGGAGGGTGCGTAAAGCCCACGGACGCAGCACACAGAGCCTTCCCTGTGGGGCGGGGCAAGTCCACACCTCTTCATGCAGTATTCTCAGCTCTACACGGAGTTATTATGGTGGCTTCATGTCCAGATCATCGCTTACACGATGTGAAAGGGGCATCTCTGGGCGGCTGCCTGGAGGAAGTCGGTGTCGAGTCTTCACATGGCTGTGTTCGTGACTTTCCCTTTACCTCTGGACTCCTCTTTCTCCTCCAGCTCCAGCCCCAAGTTTCTCTCTCCTTCTTTCTTAGCCTTCTTGCCCTTTATGTCCCCTTTCCTCTCCCTCTTGCCTTCTTCACTGTAGGGATACAAAGGGCCCAGACCACAGTGAGAAACAGCCACTCTCATTAAATTGACACGTACCTGTGCCAGGTGTTCTACACCTTTGTTGAATTCTTCAAAACAGTCCTCATGAGGAAGCCTTGCTATTTCCATTTCACAAAGGCAGACACTAAGACTCAACCATCCCATGGATGGACAGGCGGATGGAGAATGGATGGATGGACGATGGATGGATGGATGGATGGATGGATGGATGGATGGGAGGATGGATGAATGGGTAGATAAGTAGAGAAGTGAATAGAAGGTTGCGTGGATGGATGAATAGATAGCGTAGTAGGTGAATAGATTAGAAGAAGGAAAGAAAGATGGGTCAATGGATGGATGGATAGGAGTGTAGATGGGTGGATGGGTAGACAGATCATTGGGCTGATGAGTGGGGGAAATGGGTGGGTGGATGGATGGGTGGGTGAGAAGGTAGAAGGGTGGGTAAGGGAATAAATGGATGGACAGTTGGATAGGTGATGGGCAGATAAGTGGTTAGGTGAATGGATAGCTTCATGAAGAGATGAATAAATGAATGGGAAGATGAGTGAGTGAACAGGAGAAAGAAGAGCATGACAGATCAATGGATGGGAGTATAAATGGTTGGATGGATGGCAGTGTAGACAGGTGGATGGATGACTGGATCAATGGGTTACTGGGTAAGGAGATTGATGGATGAATGATAGACAGTTGGAAAGTGAAGTGTGGGTAGGCGGATGGATGGATGGATGGATGGATGGATGGGTGTATGGATGGATGGATGGATGGATGGATGGGTGTATGGATAGATGGATGGATGAAGGCATGAACAAGGCAGGGAGAAAACTACCAACATGGGAGCTCGGGTGGGGTCGAGAGCTTCCAGCACATCCCGGCAGTGGGAATCACATTTCACTGGAGCTGCACTGGGTCTTAGACAAAGCAAACAATCGGGCCTACACCTCTCCCTCACGTACATCTTGTTGGGCTTGGCTGAGAATCTTCCAGGCAGGCTGGCCTCCTCCCATCTTCTGCATTCTTGTTCCCATCCCCCAAATTTTGCCCAAGTTGGGATATTGCACTGAAAGAGTCCCCAGCCCTGCCACCTCCCTGAGCCTTCCACCAGAAGCATGTCCGGAACCAGTCAGGACCATAGAAGACACGGAGTCCAGGAGAGTCACCCACACCCGATCACATGCCCGTGCAGAGACACCTACCCAATCCCACACCACGGTCTTGTTCAACGGACCTACTGTGCGCCAGGCCCCGTGCTGAGCACTGGAAACACAGCCAGGACTAAAGCTAAGTTCTCTTGTCTATTGGAAGCTACCAGCTAGCGTGGAGAAAGGGGTAAGTGACTAAGATAATTTCAGCTGGTGGTTAAGTGCAAAGAAGAATGCACAGCTGGGGGACACAGAGTGTCAGGAAGGCTGGTGGTCAGGGTGGGCTTCTGTGAGGAGGAAATATCTGAGCTGGGACTGAAGGAGGAGCTGGCCAGAAGATACAGGAAAGGGTGTTCCAATCAGAAAGAACAGTATGGGCAAGGCCCCGGGGCAGGAATGTGCTTGAAGAGTTGAAGAGCAGAAAGGGGTCATCAGAGCACACCCATCCCTCCCACCCCCAGAGGGGGCTCCCACAAGCCCCCTGACCCCGCACACACCCACACATGCTCACACGAGCAGTACCTCAGGTCCTGATGCGGGTTGGACTCCATTCTGAATGCGGGCTCCTCGTCCTCAGCTCTGTGGGAGAAATAGAGGGAGAGGGGTGAAGGTGGATGAAGGGCAGGCGGTAGCCTTCACAGTCTCCCCTGGCTGGGGCTCATGAACTGCACCAAGCCAGGCAGATGGGCGGCATGGTTGTCCTGGACTGAGAGGCTGTGGGGTGGGGGTGGGGGAGGTCTGAGCTGGAACAGGGAAATGGGGAGACGGGGTGGCGGGGGGAAGGACCAGAGAGAGTCAGGAAGCGGGAGGGGTGCCCAACACTTTGGGGAGAAGGGGAGGACAGGGACAGCGGCTGTGGGGAGTGGGGAGAGGGGCTCCCACCTCGCTTTGGAGCACCAGATGCGGTTGACCAGCATGAGGATGAAGACAATAAACAGGAATCCCACGACGGCAGCCAGGCCCACCAGCCAGGGCTTCGGGCGATTCTGTGAGGCTGTCCGAAGGTGGGGCAGGTGGGACTCAGAGATAGGGCAGGGCCGGGGCCTGCCCCCGAAAGGGAAGAGGGGAAGGCTGCTGGGGGATGCTCAAGCCAATGGGGTTTTAGAAAGGGGCTGGGTGTCAGAGACCAGTTCTAGAGAGAGGGAGGGGGCTGGGTGCATCTCAGGGATGGGGAGAGAGGCCCAGAGGGAGTGTGGGGGCTGGGGGGCTCCAAGAAGGGCCTGGCCCCATTCCTCCTCTGCCTGCCCCCTCTTTTCAGAGGTCTCGGTTCCTCATCATGAAAAATGGGGAGATGGTGAGCCTATGAATGAGCCCCTCCCACGACCCCTCCCCCGCTTCCACCCCACCCTCCCAGGTCCAGGTCGGAACCCTACCCTGTTGAGCCTCTGCAGGTGACAGGAGCAGGGCGCTGAGCAGGAGAAGGGTCTCCAGGGTCTCCATGGTCATGGAAGAGCCAGCAGCGGCGCACAGTCAAGGTTAGCTGGGTGAGGCCCTGCCCAGCCCCTGATATGGTGGCAGGCGGGCCTAGGGGCGGGGCTGGTCCAGACCCGGAGGTCAGACTCTGGACCTGGTATAACAATTAACACGGGGAGTCCAGCCCCCCCCCTCCCGCCGCTGTGCCCTACCCCAGGACCCAGCCTCCGGGTCCCCCAGGCTCCGTGCCGCAGTGGCCAGGCCGAGATGGGCCTGGGCTCAGGGCTGCCAGGCATCCCTGGGTCTCCTCTGAACACCCCACGAAATGTTTCTGTCTCCATTTTCAGAGAAGCCCAAGGAGGCCAGGAGCACACAGGTCACGCAGAAAGAGCTGGAGCCGGGATCTGAACCCAGATCTCCCCCACCACCGGCTTAAACTGCCTCATCCTGGCTCCCAGATCCCTGGGGACCCACAGCCAACACTGGGATGAGCACAGGGACAAGAAGTGATGGGCCACATGGCCCACTATCCATCTCCAAACCCAGCTACGCCCTGATGGCTGGAGAATGGGACGCCCAGGTAGCGGATGACTCAGGCTGCAGGCTCTCCTGTCCATCAACCTTGGTCCCTGGCTGATTAGATAGGGAGCCCTGCCCAGGAGAAGGAGCACCTCACCCCAGCTGCGACTGGACAGCCATGGCCCAGGCATGTGGCAGGAAGCCCCGACCAGGGGGCGGGGGGCTCTGCAGGGCTCTTGGGGGCTGGGTACCAGTGTCACTGCACACACCTTTAAGGAGCACCCGTGCATACCTGGGGCCCCCTGCCTCCCTGAGGTCTATCATCACTGCACGAGGGGCCATCCAGTAGAGTGATGGAGCTCAGGCACCTGCCCAGAGCAAGGCCATCTCAACCACCCGAGTGGTGCCTGTGAAGCTCCGACCGTGTGCCCTGTCTGTGCCAAGCTCAGAAGGGAGGGACGAAGCCTCAGACACTGTCCTCCGGGACTTCTCAGGTTAGCTGGGAAGTCAGGACCCCCATAAACCAACAGATCCGGCGCACAGAGCAGCAGAGCTGGGGAGGAGGTGGGAGGTGGGGTTGGAGCAGATTCGGGAGAGCAGGGCCAAAACCCTGCCTTGGGGATTCTGAGTTCGAAGGCAGGTCACGGAACTGGCCTCTTTCTGCAAAAAGTTCTCTCTGCTCCAAACAAGTCATTTCTGGGTTTTGTGCCTCCATGTTCCCATGTGTTAAATGGGGGTGAAAAGTCCTGGCCTGTGAGGATTAAATGAAGTAATACGTGGAAAAGGCTCACTGAGCACAACAGCAGGGACATACTAAGCACTCAGTAAGGGTTAGCCACCATTGTTAGTCTTTGAAAAACTCTTCTTGGTGGAGGTTGGGCAGAATCAGGCTCTGGGGCTCTGCGGGGAGCAGGAGTGTGGAAAGTGCCAGTGATCAACCACTGGAACCTGTCAGCCAAGAAAGAGAACATTCTCTGCCAAGACGGGGCAGATCAGTGGAGCAATGGATCCAGCGTGCACAAGTCCGGTCTACACAACTGCAAAGGGGTTCAAACCCAGGTCCTGGGCCAGAGGGCAGGGCCTGGCTCAGTCCAGCCTCCAGAAGGAGCTTCGAGCAGGTGGGTCCTTGAAGGCAATGGAAGGGCGGTGGGGAGCCGGGGCGGGGGCTTCTGCAGCGGCTGCGTCGCCACCCCCACCAGGGTCCTCATCACCCCGCCAGGCCAGGGCCAGCTGCAGGTCCAGCTCTTCCAGATCCTCGCCCTCCAGGCTTGAGCACAGTTCCCGAGGGGCGTCCTCCTGCTCTGGCTTCGGGCCGAAGGCCCAGTCTGCAGTAGGACACTGTTGAGGAGCCTCTCGGGGCCTCATCCACCCTCTGTCCCCTCCCTGGCTGCGAGAGGCCCTTGCATCCCGCCCCTCCCCCCCCCCCACCGCCCCGGAGTGGCCCAGCACTGTCCCAAGCAGGGCTCGTGGCGGGTAGCAGCTCACCAGCCAGGTCATGGGCGAGGTCCTTGATGAGATGCCCCACAATGGCATAGGCCACGGCCACCACCAGGAGTGCCGCCAGCAGCAGATACAGCGCATACCTGGGCAGGCGGATGGCATCCAGAGGTGGTGGGCGGTATTCCTCATACAGCGGTGGGGCCGGGCTCCAGCCCTCCATCCCCTGCTCGACTGCCAGCCCCGGCATGATGGCCACCTGGAGCAAGAGAGGCCCGGAGGTGACCTGCGTGGCGGAAGTATTTAGGGGCTTTGGGTAAGAGGATTGGGGCTCCTCCAAGGCCACCATCTGCCTGGATTAATCACTTCCGCCCAGCGGCCCCCCTCCCTCATTCAGCTCCAGCCGACATGGCTGGTACTCTGTACGTCCTTCCCCCGCCTAAGGGCCTTTGCTCGAGCTGCTCCCTCTTCTGGGAACATCCCTGCCTTCATGGAGCTGACATTCAAGATAGGGGGATACACTGAGAAAAACATAACCTTGAGTAAGTGATGTATTGAGTTAGAAAGTGAAGAGTGGCATTGGGGTGGCTCAGTCAGTTGAGCATCTGACTCTTGATTTCAGCTCAGGTCATGATCACGGGTCATGGGATAAAGTCTGAAGTCGGGTTCTGTGCTCAGCAGGGAGTCTACTTCTCTCCCTCTCCCTCTCTCTCTCTCCGTCTTATGCATGTGTGTGTGCAGGTATGTGCACGCGCACTCTCTTTCTCTCTAACATAAATAAATAAAATCTAAAAAGAAAAAAAAGTGGTATTGGGGTGGAGGTACCATGGTTGGGACTACTAAGAGGGGAGTTAAAGCTTAAAATAGGGTAGCCAAGGCCATATGAAGATGCATGTGAGCAGACCCAGAGGAGGAAGAGAAGCAGGTGTGGGAGTACCAGGGGGGAAGAGCAGTCCAGACAGAGGGCACAGCACATGCAAAGGCCCTGGGGAAGGACTGGGCCTGGCGTGTTGGAGAAGAGCAAGGAGGCCTGTGTACCTGGAGCAGAGTGAGCAACAAGGTGATAGGGAGGAGGGAAGGATAGGGAGGGCGCCCCCCCCACCCCTTGGGGGTCAGGGGAGAATTTGATCTTTCACCCTGAGGGAGGTGGGAGCCCTGGAGGGCTGTGGGCAGAGGAGGGCGGGGCCTGGCTCAGTTGCCCACAGGTGGCCTCTGGTGGCCGCTGCGGGGAGGACAGACGCTGAGGGGTGAGGACAGCCGCCAGGAAGGCAGGCTGATGGGACTGCGGTGGTCCGGGTGAAAGATAAGGGGGCGCTGGACCCCACCCCCGGAGGCAGAAGAGGGGGGCTGCACGTCACCGTTTTTTCCAATATTTTTCTCCTTGCCTTACAAATACTGTTGCAACCAACTTTCCACATTCCAAAGGTAAGACACTTCTCATAATGTGTTTCCCTGATTAGAACACTTCAGGCTTCTCATTGCGTCAGAGTAAACCCAAGTCCTTCTTGTGTCCGGGTGGCTCTCCCGCAACCATCCCCGCGGCTCCTTCCCGTACCTGCCAGGTGTTTACTCAGACGTGGCCACTCCTCCTAGGACTTCGCACCGCCCTTGAACTATACGGCTTAACCGGTGTCACCAGCTATCACGTATTTTACTTATTTATTTCTTGTCTGTCTCCCTCAGACAACCAGGCTGTGAGGTTTTCGAGGGTAAGGATCGCAGGTTGTCTTGCCCTCGGCCCCCATCAGCCATGTGTTAAGTGAACGACGAGGGAACGACTCGATCGGGTCCGAAGAAAGGACTAGACCCCTCCCTTCCCCAGCTCGAGTCCAGCCGCCTGACGCCATTGGCCACGCCCCCAGGACTTGACCACGCCCCAGGAACACGGCGCCTGCTCCGTCGCTACCCGGACCCCGGCTCCGGCCAGAATCGGCACAAACCATTTCCACTTATCGAACTGGGTAGGGAAGCCGGAGAGAATGTCTTCCGCGGAAAGAGTGGACGTTGCCCTTCCCTTCCCTGAGGGATGTCCTTAGACCCCATCTTCTGTGTGAATGTGAGCTGTGGCACCGATGCCGACTCGTGCTTCCAGACCTCTCTCCTGCCGCGGAGACTTTGACTGGAACCCCCCCCAGCGCCGCGTTGGTGCCTTCCGGCCCGGTCACGTGGCCGAGAAGATGGCGGCCCCCAGAGAGTGCCGCGAGCGTCCCGGTTGGTGAAACGCCGGTGGCCGCTGTGGGAGCGGGTGGGATCGGCGGCCTCGTCTTCCCGGAGCTCGTTCGGGCGTTTCGGCTGCAGGTAGCACGGTGCGTGGCCCGGGCCTGGCGGGCGGGCACGGCGGGAAACGCCTCGTGGGGAGGTCCCGTCTCTCGGATTCGTTAGTTGGGGGTCGAGGGGCCTCTTCCTGAGGGGTTTCGAGTCCCGGCGAGCTCTTTCCCCAGGTTCTGGGGACCCTGTCGCCGGGAACTGGATTCCCAGGTTGTGGGACCCTGGGAGCCAGCGCGTGTGGGGGAGGGGATCCCATATTGGGCGATCCCTTTCTCGAGTTTCGGGAGAACCAACGGTAGGAGGGATCCAGTACTTAGGGACCCGCGTAGACAGATCTTGAGGCTTCCGGTTCTTCGGGTTCTCCTCCAACGGGTGGGGTCTTGCGAGCCGCCCTGAGGGAATCCCGTGTTGGGAAGACCCCTTTCCGGGGGAGAGTTGGTTACCAGAGGTGTTTTTGTTGGGAATTCTTGGTTTAGATAGATCGCGGGTGGGGGCGAGAGGTCGAGGAGCCTGGTCTCTTTCTCCGTCCCTTACTAGTTCATCAAGAGGATTTCACAGGGGTGAGCAGATTCCCAGATTCTGCTTTGGTGGGGGGGCTGATCCCCTCAACCCCACGCCCACACCCTTGCCCTGCTTCCCGCTGAAGAATGGGTTGAAGGTATGAGCTGTGGGCTTCCAGGAGGCTCGGTGCTCCCTCCTGAGTACAGAGAGGTGGGTTTGGGGCTCCCTGCAAG